GAAGCTTCGAAGATTAACTCGTCTCAATAAAACAGTAAATTTAGATCTTTGCCTGTATAAGGCGAAGAAAAACCCAGCAAAAATATACAGGGTGAGATAATTATTCCAGAGACAGCTTATTATATTGTTTACAAGCTTACAAAAGCATTTTGGTGAGAATTTTCCAGAAAAAAGTTATTCGTGATGGAATTCAAGCGTGATAGTGTGATTCCTTAATATTTGGCTGTAAAACTACAAGTGGCTATCGTTAGAGCACTCCAACATTTAAGTGTGAATAACCCCTTGGTGTCTCGTACAATCGCTCGTTACCGTAATACTGGTAGCGAAGCCCGACGTCAAGGAAGTGGACGAAAAAAAAAAAAACAGCAACATCAGCAGAAATGGTTCCAAAAGTAAAGAAACCTGCTTCGCAATGGCCGAAAATGGCTCGTGAGCTGAATATGTCGCAATATTCCATTCGGCAAATATTAAAAAATGAACTCGGCGTGAAGCCATTGAAATTCTTACACCGCAACAGAAAGAAAATGGACTCAAAAGAGCTAAAGAGTTGCTTCGCTTGGCCGAAAGTGGTGATCTGCCGAATTTGGTTTTCTCCTTTTTCGATGAGAAAACATTCGTTGTCCAGCTGTTAGTAAACAAACAAAATGATCGTGTTTACTTACCCAAGAGGTCAGCTAAAAATGTGCTCCTTCGGTTGGCCACCAGAACTCAAGCGCCGGCCATGGTGATGGTGTGGGCCGCTATAACTGCCGATGGTCGCTCTCTGCTCGTATTAATCAACCGTGGCATCCGAATAAATGCCGAATATTATCGCGAAAATATTCTGGAGGGTGTACTAAAGCCTTGGGCACGGAAACATTTTGGCCGCAGACCTTGGACATCCAAAAGGACTCAGCACCATCGCAGTCAGCACGCGCCACCCAAGAATGGTTACAAAATGAGGTTCTTCGCTTCATTTCCAGCGCAAAAAGGGCACCCAAATCTCCGGATACCAATCCGTTGGCCTATTTTGTCTGGAGTATTTTGGAAAGCAAGGTTGGCACTAAAAAATACAAAAGTGTCGATCACCTCAAGCAAGCGCATCGCCGGGATTGGGCCAATTATGATGCTGTTTCCGACATTGCTTTCATTCAATAAAAGTAAAAATTATGGCGTTTGACTTTGTTGCAGTTTTTTTATCTCACCCTGTATAGCGTTCAAATCTGTACGAAAACATAATTCCGATTTGAACGGTACATATTTTTTGCTTGGAAAATGTTTTTCTCTAATGCGGATATGGTTTTCTTCGCCTTATGCATGAAAAATGGACACAATGTGGCGCCCAAATAATTATTTAACTTCTTTATTTGCTTTGAATAGTAGTTATTAAGGGAATACCTATTACTTTGATCGATACTCCACAATAAATATAATAACGGATGTACCAGAATATTTCGGGTATATCAAAGTGACTATTTTTAGACAGTGTCTTTCCGTCGTATAATAACCGTTCCAAAATTAGATGTTTTTCTGGAGCACAATTGTACATTTTTTATTATTTTTTTATTATTTATAATTATTACAAAATCGGTTGAAATAACGATTTCATCTTTCAATATCAATGATGTGAGTTTATTGATCTTTATTTTAGTTAAAATTTTTTGTTGTTTATTAGCGGTCTATGATATATGAGCTTATGTTATTGTTATTGGTTTTAGTTTTGAAACAGACTATGTTGACCAAATACAAAAACGCCCTCGCTTAATTATACTTAAATGGCACAAAGATGTATTCATTTTCTACTCAACATGGTACAGTGAATTGAAAAGAACACTAAATCGACAAATAATGACATTACGAGTATATTGGGTATAGAGAATACGTTATATTGGGACTATACCTATATTGAATATTTTCGAAAAAGCTTAATTTCGCTTTGACAATTTAAACTCAAATCTTGAGTTCAATAGACGGGTGGATATCGTCAACTCGACTCATTTTACTAAAAAAAATTTTGATATGAAAAATGTTATAAAATTCGGATACCCCTTCCAGATTATTATAACTCAGTCTCAAAATTAGTATTTCCAGAAACTGTTCAAAAGTATTTCAACGTCTCCATGTCTAAACCCTGGAAACTAACAGTGATCTCAATATCTCAATTTCAGCTCTATTCCTCCACCAAATACCAAATTGAGTAACATCCAAAACAATCTACATTTCTCAATACTAAAATAATGATCGAAAATTAGTACCATTACTTTACTACTTTTCAAACAATGTAAATACCAACCGTGACCTCAATATAAAATATCGGAATTTCAGCTCTTTCCCTTGATGCAAATATGAAACGCATTTTCAAAGCAACTTCCATATCTCAACCTAATACATCAACAATAAACTTAATATAAGATTTCAGCTCTTAACTTCCCCCATTTGGTACAATTATAGTATGCATATCCAAAACCAGCTCCTTTTCTTAACCTCAGACACAAACAGTGACATCCATATCGAATTTCAGGTTTCAGCTCTTTTCCTTCACCCAATACCAAACTTTTTTACCACCAGTAAAAAACATTAAATTCTTCCGGTCCAAACTTTTAATATCCCCCACGATTGGGTAAAGTAAATAATTTTTATATAGTTTTGAATTCAAAAGTGTTCCACTTAAAACTCTAAGTACCAGTAAAACCGTTTGGATGATGCAGTTTAACTTTTCAAAAAAAAAAAAAACTCATAAAGTGGATGAAGCCGTTTAATGGGGGCCATACCAAAACGAGGACCTATATAACCAAATTTGATAGAATTTATCCGCGAAATTTGATTAGGATTATCAACATACTGAATATCTGTGGGTTCCGCTATATAGGGGCAATATGAAAATGTGGACCTATACATAAAATCTTCCGCCACAGGATCTAGGACCCGTTGCGAACTACAAATACCATTTTTAAGACCAACCCGTGGAAAATGTGCAATATTGGTCAAAATATCGAATATCGGGAAATACCATAATATGGTGGCTATACCAAAACGTGGAACAATATATCTTACAAAATTTCGTACCATTTAGTACTTTTCGTACATATTTTCAAACCTTAATTCCAAGTTTCAGAATTGTATCTCTATCACTTAACCAAATACCAAATATACAAATATAGTACCATTCAGTACAAATATGATATAGATTTCCGAAACTACATCTATATGTCCCGGCTACACATGAACAGTGACCCCAACACCAAATTTCAGATTTCAAATCAAATTGCAGAATCCACCTCTTTATCACAAACCTACCACCAATAGGGACCCCAATACAGAATTTCAAAATTCCAGTTTCATCGGTTCTCCTTAAATCAAACTGTTACTAAATTTGGTACCATTTAGTGCAGTTCGCGCACTTAGTACACTTTTCCAAAAACACCTTCATATATCAAACTTACATTCCAAACTTGATTCTCATATCAAATTTTAACTTTTAAGCTCTATCCGTTCACATAATGCCAATTGGTACCATTTTAGGTGTTTTAGTACCATTTTAGAACTTTTCGTAACTTTAAAGTTCTAAGTTCCAAAAAGCCTTTGGTACTTCTATTCTGCACTCCATCAGTAACTCTCATTCATAATTCAGAACTCTAGCTTATTCCGTTTGTTCAATAGAAAGTATTCAATTTTAAGTATATTTCAGTACGTTTTGTACCCTTTTAGTACGAATTTCCAAAAACTTTGTCTCATCACACGTATACGCACCAAGACTGACACTCGTGCAAAATTCCACATATCAAACTTACTTTCCAACCTTAATTCTCATACCAACTTTCAAGTTTTTCAAGCTCTATCCGTTCACATAATACAAATTTGTACCAATTTAGAACTTAAGTACAATTTCAGATCTTTTCATAACCTTAAAATTCGAATTTCCAAAAACCCTATCCTGACACCTTTTATTGACTCTCATTCCAAATTGAAGAATTTTAGATCATTCCATTTGTCCTATACAAAATATTACATTTTTTGTACATCTTAGTGCTTTTCGTACCTTTTTAGACCGGTTTCCAAAAATCCATCCTCATCACTTGCCTACGCATCAAGAATGACTCTCGTGCAAGATGTTTAAGATTCTTGCTTGACATATTTCGTCTGGGCGTTGATTGAGTTTTTTTAATTATCGACTTTCCAAAAAAGACGAACCCTATTGAAATAGGTGAGAATCGGTCGATATAACTCCCATGCATATATCTCGTCCGATTTCAATTTTATTGTGCGCCATATGTGTAATATTCATACAAATAGGATGTATTTCGGCACATCCGACCGCATCCAGTCTAGGAGCTAGTACTTCAAATTTGGTAAAATCCGGTGAACCGATTTTTACTTCTATAAATATGTTTCATCCGATTTGTTGTTAAAATCGCTCACATTCGTAATATGAAACAATACTGATATTTGCTAACAGATATTAAATACAGCTCAGGGATACCTCTTTAAAATTTTATCAAGATCTTTTCAGATTTGAATATAGCTTCATATATATCTTCATCCGATTTTACGTTTATTGTGCAGCAAAGAGTGGATTTTGGCACATACACCCGAATTTTTACATTTTTTGAATCTCGGTTTTCATATACTTATTTTAGTATAGGGTATCATATAGTCGGCCCGCTCAACTTTTGACCTTTTTATTGGTGTAATTTTTCGAATTTGAAAAATTTTCTTTTTAAACCACTGTACTCCTTCCTCCAAAAGAGATTAATTTCGGCCAAAATCTTTAGGCCACAACTTTTCTCCAACACACAATGGGTCGTGTTTTGTTTTTGTTAGCTGAGTGAAATGGATGTAAATGTTGTAAAAATATTGAAACAACAACGCGTTTCGGCCACTTTCGGCTGTGTTGGTGTGTGTGCTCCAGAGGATGATGGCAACGATCGACGACAGAGAACAGCCAGCCAGCCAGCAAGCATAGCCAGCATTTGGCATATCACAACGTAAACTTGGAGCGTCTAAGCTCATTTCGCTTAGCTTAGTTAGATTCAGTTTCAATTGGCAAAATTGCAGTTTAGTCGATTCGCATTTGAGTTGGCCAGGCCATATAAAAGACGTTAGCGTTTGAAAATGAGTTTTTATTTCTGCGCATAACGCGGAACGGAATATTTCGCCATCGCTTGGCCAGTGTAAACAAGACGCGCATGCGCCACTACATGAAAAGTTGAAAATTGCATTTGGAAGATAAAAGAAGTGACGAAGTAAAAATAAAAATTTCTGGATTTTCCTCAACGGCAGTGGATTGTGTTGGTGTTCATTCATTTGATTACATAAGAATTGCAAATTAAAAAGAAAATTTTAAAGAAATTCAAAAAATATTTAAAAGTGTTACAAATAATCGAAAAAAAAAAATGGAAATCAATTCAAATATTCAAAGCTTCTTTCGCAATAAAGTGGTCTTCATTACTGGCGGCACCGGATTTCTGGGAAAAGGTGTGTTTCTATGTGTGTGTGTTCGTCTTTATGGTTAATGAAATGAAAATTTTTGAATAAAAGTTCAAGTGATGTCAGTCCAATCAAATTACTTTAATAACCAGGAAATTGCCCTGGGAAAACTCTGACAGACAAGGTTAAGTAATTGACGTTTAAACTTTTGTTTATTTGCTTGTGATTTACGTAGATACTGGAAACTCTATGAATTTTAAATATATCTTTCTATAAATTTTGTTCAATTTCTTTGTAAATCATCAATGTTGGTGTATAATTAGTGGCGAGGAAATTAATAACAAGTTAAAAAGCAGTAAGTTCGGCCGGGCCGAACTTTTAATACCCTCCACCATTTGCAACGAATTTGGAAATTTTCAAAAAATAAAATCCTTAAAAAATTCTGTTAAAATTTTAAAAATACCGAATATAGCCGTTATTTTGGGGTCTATACGACGTGGACATACATAGGCATTGTTTGTCATAAGCCATTACCATATCCATATTCGAAACTTGAAATAAACGGTGAATAATGTAGCTAAAATCATCAAAATACCGAATATAGGGAGGTACCGTTATATGGGGGCTATACGAAGACCTGGACCCGCACAGACAATTTTCTGCCACAGACTGTAGTTCCCATAACGAACTTCAAATACCAATTTTAAAACAATTCCGGTGAATAATGTCGCTAAAATCATCAAAATACCGAATATAAAGGGGCTATATGAAGACGTGGACCTGCACAGACAATTTTCTGTCTTAGGGTGTAGTATCCATTTTAAACTTCAAATACCAAATTTGAAACAATTCCCGTGAATAATGTCGCTAAAATCATCAAAATACCGAATATCGGGAGGTACCGTTATATGGGGGCTATACGAAGACGTGGACCTGCACGGATAATTTTCCGTCTTAGGGTGTAGTATCCATTTTGAACTTCAAATACCAAATTTGAAACAATTCCCGTGAATAATGTCGCTAAAATCATCAAAATACCGAATATAGGGAGGTACCGTTATATGGGGGCTATATGAAAACGTGGACCTACATGGCCCATTTACGAACTTAACCTGCCTACTGGAAAAATAAACATGTGTGCAAAATTTTAGCCACCTATCTCAATTCATTCGAAAGATAGCGTGATTACAACAGACAGACAGACAGACGGACAGACAGACAGACAGACAGACGGACATCGCTAAATCGACTTAGAATTTTACGCTGATCAAGAATATATATACTTTGTTGGGTCTGATATGAGTATTTCGAGGAGTTACAAACGGAATGACAAAATTAATATACCCTCCATAGTATGGTGGAGGGTATAAAAATCAAATATTAGTGAACAATAAATTACAGAGTTGTGTGTGTTTAAAATTAACAGTTTTACTTTAGATAAACAAAGTGGACGTACGTTTTTATGGTTTGGAATCCGTATTGACATAGAGTCTGAGTAAAAAGTGCAATTTATTATTATTTAAAACAAAAACTTTTTTCAAAAAAATAAACTTGGTGCAAAATTTAAGTATAAAAATTTAAATTACAATAAATATAAAAAATATATTGTCGCCCTTCGGATGTATCATTCCTCATTGGCATTGTAAATTTGAAAAGTGAATGTTTTTCTTTTAGTTTCTGTAGGGTGTGGTATGTGTTGTCATTTGTAATTTAAAAAATGGTTTCTCGGCAAAAATATCATTACTAAGTAATGGGTTTTGTATGTTATTTTCGCTATCCAAAAGAATTTCGCTATCCAAAAGAATTTTGAATATTTTTGACATGACGTAAAACCCTCCATTAAAAATGTGCTCTCAACTTTTCGAAGTTTATCCTGGTCATACCAAAATCCAATAGTTTTGGGCAAGAAATCGATGGAAAATTATTAAAATTAGATATTCGTGAAAAAATATTTATAACCAATTCATATCCAAAAAGCCTGTGTAAAAAGCAAGGATTTATATAAAATTTGGGAACAACTCTAGTTTAGTAAAAACTCTTAGATTTTTTCGAAATTTTTTCCAGAGGTAGGTATTTTTACCCTGATCCCGGGAAACTATTTTTTTCTTGGGGGACGGACCCGGGACCCCAGATTTTTGACCCAAAAGTCCGGGATCAAGACCCCGCCTGGACCCGGATCCACTTACCCGATATAGACAATATGGGTATCGATTGAAAGCTTATGGAAATACCTATCCAACAAGTGGTCACAAGGGGTAAGTTGTCATGGTTCGGAAGTTATAGTCAAATTATCGATTTTTTGGACCCGGATTTTTTATGAAACCCCCAAAAAGTCAAAAAAGGGCCCATTATGGGGGTCAACAAAATTGTTTCCAAATTATAGCTGACACTCTTACCTTTCCAAAATGCTACAATTTGTGCTAATACCTTTTTCGGTTCCAGAGATATGGGTCTTTCCATCCGCATTACCCGATTCTAACCAGTTCATTAAAATTATGTTTTTAATAAAAAAAAAAGTGTTTATTTCGCGTAGCAGTCGTCGGAATAACAAAAGTTTTCTAAATTTGGCACTTTTTGTAAATAGCCGGCCTTCGGCCGGGGCTTGAGATTTTCTCCTCTGGGTATGTCCTACACCGGCTAACGCGAACCAAAGTTTTCTAAATTGGATACCTTTTGTAAGTAGCCGGCGTTCGGCCGGGGCTTGAGATTTTCTCCTCTGGGTATGTCCTAAACCGGCTAACGCGAACCAAAGCTTTCTAAATTTGACACTTTTTGTATATAGCCGGCCTTCGGCCGGGGCTTGAGATTTTCTCCTCTGGGTATGTCCCACACCGGCTAACGCGAACCAAAGTTTTCTAAATTGGATACCTTTTGTAAGTAGCCGGCCTTCGGCCGGGGCTTGAGATTTTCTCCTCTGGGTATGTCCTACACCGGCTAACGCGAACCAAAGATTTCTGAATTTCATTCTTACGCAAAATATACCTTTTTTTTATTGAAAACATAGTTTTAATGAACTGGTTAGAATCGGGTTATGCGGATGGAAAGACCCATATCTCTGGACTCAGTAAAGGTATTAGCACAAATTGAACCTTTTTGGAAAGGTAGAAGTGTCAGCTATGATTTGGCATCAGTTTTGTTGTCCCCCATAATGGGCCCTTTTTTGACTTTTTGGGGGTTTTATAAAAAATCAGGGTCCAAAAAATAATTTGACTATAACTTCCGAACCGTAAGATCTTACCCCATCATGTGACCATGTTGGATAGGTATTTTCATAAGCTTTCCAACGATACCCATATTGTCTATATCGGGTAAGTGGATCCGGGTCTAGTAGGGGTCTCGAACCCGGACTTTCTGGTCAAAAATCTGGGGTCCCAGGTCCGTCTCCCAAGAAAAAAATAGTTTCCCGGGATCATGGTTAAAATACCTACCACTGAAAAAATTTTCGAAATAATTGAAGAGTTTTTACTAAACTAGAGTTAAGCCAAAATTTGGAGCTCTTGAAACATTAACAAGTTAAAAAGCAGTAAGTTTGGCCGGGTCGAACTTTGAATACCCTCCACCATTTGGAACGAATTTGGAAATTTTCAAAAAAAAAAAAGTCCTTAAAAAATGCTGTTAAAATTTTAAAAATACGGAATATAGGCGTTTTATTGGGGTCTATACGACATGGACATAAGCCAATACCATATTGAAATTCGAAACTTGAAATAAACGGTGAATAATGTAGCTAAAATCATCAAAATATCGTATATAGGGAGATACCGTTATATCGGAGCTGTGCGAAGACCTGGACCAACATAGACAATTTTCTGTCACAGGCTTTAGCATCCATTACGAACGTCAAATACGACATCTCAAAAAATTTCGGTGGGTATTGTAACTACCGAATATCGGGAGGTGCCGTTATATGGGGGCTATACGAAGACGTGGACCTACATAGCCCATTTTCTGTTTCATGCTGCAGTATCTATTGCGAACTTCAAATACCAAATTTGGAACAATTTGAAACAATTCCGGTAAATAATGTCGCTAAAATCATCAAAATACCGAATATCGGGGGGTACCGTTATATGGAGATAATAGAAAAACAGATAATTCTCTGTCTTAGGCTGTAGTATCCATTTCGAACTTCAAATGCCAAATTTGAAACCATTCCGGTGAATAATGTCGCTAAAATCATCAAAATACCGAATATCCGGAGGTACCGTTATATGGGGGCTATATGATAACATGGACCTACCTAACCTTCCTACTGGCAAACTAGACATGTGTGCAAAATTTTAGCTTTCTATCTCAATTCGTTCGAAAGATAGTGTGATTACAACAGACAGACGGACAGACAGACAGACACACACACAGACGGACATGGCTAAATCGTCTTAGATCAAGAATATATATACTTTGTTATGTCTAAGATCATTATTTCGATGAGTTACAAACGGAATGACAAAATGAATATACCCTCCATAGTATGGTGGAGGGTATAAAAAAATATATATAGCACATGAGGTCCGTAAAGACCAAATCGGATGAATTATATATATATGGGAGCTAAGCTATATTTGAACCGATTTTCACGAAATGTGATGTACTTGCTTCTAGACTGAATTCGGTTGGATGTGCCAAAATTCAGGACTTTTGGACTGATATTGGCAATTTGGTGCACAAATAACCCGAAATCGAACCGATCTTGATACAATTTGGAGTATTCTGGTTAACAGATATCATTCTTGTAGGGTGCATATTACGAATGAGAGGGACTTTGAGAGCAAATTGGATAAAACATATATATGGGAGCTATAGCTCTATTTGAACTGATTTTCTCTAAATTTGATTTACTCGATTTCAGACTGAATTCGGTCGGATGTACCAATTCGGTCGTACCTGCACAAGAATACATGGACAGAGGGAGGATGGACTGGCATGCATAAATCGACTGAGGAAGTGATTCCATGAAGATCCTCAAAATCTCGCTTCCGTCTCCATGTTACAATCAATCATACACCACTATTTGGTGTAGGGTATAAAAAGAGAACTAGATTCTTTGT